CGTAGGCTCGTGCCAAAAGAAGGCACACAGAACAATAGTCTTTTGAATGAATAGAATGATTTTTGAGAGGACATGGGGGACAGAGGTACGAAAGCGTGCGACTCGTCGTGAATTTCTATTCAATTCTCGCTCGCCCCGGCCCGGCCGCGCGGGGACTCGCGTCTTGCTCGGGGAAAACCGGCGCGAATTATAACGCGTCGCGAGGCAAAATGCGATTTCACATCCAAATGAGAGGACGCATTGCCCCCTCTCATCACATTAATCTAAACATCGTGAAATATAAATCCTCGCGCGCGCGTGGACAGGCGCGTCGAACCTCTCGCGTGCAAGTCACTATCACGATTACTACGCCCTGCGAAGATGATTGTTGGAGAATACTCAAGGCCGCGTGGTCATCGATAAATGCAGCCTTACAGCGCAATCTTAAAATGTGCCCTCGTAGCCTCGACGTCATTTACTAAATTTACTTCAGTCAGCCTTCGCGAGTCGTAAACTTTAAACTCAAGAGACAAAATTCACTTCTATTACATCTTATTCTTCCTCTTCAACTTTGATTACACTTATTATTAATTATTACACAAATATAACCGTGAGCTTTTTATTAAGATACCTTCTGATGCTTATATTTATTAGACTTAGAATGAATTAAACTTCAGATTATATATGCACGGAAAGAACAATTTTGCTGAATCCAGATCTGAAAATAATTTTTGTTCAATAATTGAAATATTTTTGTGCGAAAGTCAAAGTGATTGTTAGAATATCAAAACGTTTGATAGCAATGCTTATCAGTTTTAACATTCCAACAAATTACTTTGATGATTCAACAAAAAATTATTTTCAGATCTGTTTCTTAGCGAAAATTTGTAGATCTTTCAACAAAATAGTTCTTTTCGTGTGCTGATAAGTGAATGTATCTTAAAGATTCGATTGACAACGTATACATACAAACGAGGGCGGGGAGTTAATCGTCCTCGTCGATGTGTAAAACACAGTCCGGCATCATGAGGATCGATATACCTTCCTAAGAAGATTTTTCGTTTACACGAGGCGCCGCCTCCTACATCGATCTGATTCAAATTCAAGTACGTAGACCGCGAGCGGGGCCAGGGCGTGTAAAACTTTTCTCGGCTGAATGAACGGAGCGTTTCACGCGATTTTTTTTAATCTGATTCAGTCGAATTCTTTCCCTCCCCTTCTCCCCCGCTCCCTCCCTCGCGTCCGTGGGGAGAAACTGTGCCGATCTCAATCGCTCAAGGCTAATTAACTCGCCGGCGATTAGGATGTACCGAACGCAAATGATCACATGTGCTTTACGCGTGGAAATTACGTTTGGAATTAGGACATCGCTCGAGCAACGTCCGCAAAAAAAAAAAGGCGCGCGAAACAAAGGCAGCCGAATTAATTAAGAAGCCGCGAGCAGATCGTTTAAATGGCAAGCTGTACTCGAATACTTGACGTTCAATAGAATGATCTAAGTCCAAGTTACCCCGCGATTAATCCCGTTAATTTACCGCGTTCGGCAATCCTGTGATTAAATACGCAAGCCGATAAAAATCAGAGCGATCGATCAGTCTAAACCGTTATACATATCTAAACCGATATTTGCATCGCGTAAAACGAAACGCTATAAGGAATGAGTCTATAAGAGTCAAACGTACAATATTCCGTGAACGTCATCCCTCGCGAATTGTTTCAACAATTACTTTTTCATGACTGTTATCGAAGAGATTTTTTATTTTGTTACCAAAATAAAATATTGGCGAAAATCATACTTTCACAAATTTTGCTGATTACTCTTCCGTGTAAAATTATATCACAGTAAACTCTTGGTAATTCAGATACAAATCATTAAAAATCAGAAGAAAGAAAAATTACATACAAACGGGCACGAGGGCACCGTTACGTTATTACAAAAGTGCAAAAATTTCACCAAGTTTCGCGTTCTATGACAGTGTAATTAAAAGGGAAATAGATTCCCTCGGCGTTTTTTTCATCAGTCAGCACGCGAACGTTTCCGTGTCTTGCTATCGCCATTAATTAGCATACACCACCATTAAGCGACATACATCACTCGGACGAATCGCACGTACTCTTTCTTACTTCGATCCGATTCGCGATTCGTTCCGTACTCATTTGGAGAACGCGCGCGTATACGAATCTCCAACGGATAGAGATCTCTCGAGGCGCGAGAGAAAAGCCGTTTCCCCGTTCATGTGGGGAAGTCATCGAGCACGCGTCACGAGCGATCGATCGATGAAGAAGGGTCGTTTTCCAGATCCAAATGCAACAGTCACTCCTGGAGTGACCTGCACCTCGCGTAGGAATGACAGAATCGCGAGTGTGACTTTCTCAGAGTTATTTCAAACTGTAACGCCCCTTCAGCCTCCATAAATGTACATCGAAAAAACCGTTCACCAGTCAAAATTCGCACCGATCCTTTTCGCGATCTACATTCAGGGTTGCTCCACACAAGATCCTCCCGCGCGGAGCGAATAGGAAAAGAAGTCGAGTGACGTTTGACTTCCTCCCTTTTTGTTCTTTTTTTTTTTTACAAAACGAGAGGTGCCCGCCACTCGACCCATCGTCCTACTCCGCGGGGGCGGTCGTCGCGATGTCGTCTTACCTGTCTCGTGGGTGGACGGGGTCGCGGGTTCGCGGGGCTCGGCACCATTTACGACGGCAACCCCCACGGCGGCGTTGGTGGTAGCGGCGGCGGCGGCGGCGGCATGCACACGATGCGCGCACGAGGGTTGTGGGAGCTCGGGGGAAGGATCGCGGCTCTCTCACACACACACATACACACTCACTCTCTCTCGCTCGCTCGCTCTCTCGCTCTCTCTCTCTCTTTCGCCCGTCGCCTCGGCCTCGAATCTCGGCTCCGCGCGTCCTCGCGCGAACACGAACGCGTCCTCACTGGCGCGGGTTCGCCCGCCGCGACTTATAGCGCCCGCCGGCCGCGGGATACGCGGCCGAAGGTGGTCACTCGGGGAGGCGCGGGCGCGTTGACCAACACACGCGTTCTCCACCGTGGAAAGTCGCCGGGACGCCTGCTCTCGACTCGTCCCGCGGGGGGGGCCCCCTGGGAATGAGAAAGCGGAGAACGTCGCTACCGCGCGTCTCTCATGAAAATGCAATCGGCTTCTGGCTCGGGGGAATGTCGCGGTAGAATATTCTTTTCTGTAAACTTCGTCGAAAATATCTCGACGTTTGACACCTTCGTATAATTCAGCCTCGAGTTAAAATTCCGCCAAAGCGGAATCAACATCCAGATCGGATGAATGACATCCCGGTAAGTTCGCTTTTCTTTGAAGCTATTACAATTAGTTCGAAAAGATTTTTTTTCAATAATGCATCTCAGAAATAATTGAATTTATACTTAATGAAAACTAAGATGTTTTCTCACAAAGAATAGTCATTTTTTTAAATCAATTCTGATATATTCTACATACATTTTTAAGTTGATAAAAAAAACATCCTAGAGAAACATTTCTGTAATTCATATAATTTGAAAACATTCCAAATTTCTAATAAAAGAAATTTTTTTCCGCGAATGTGAAACTTTCTTAGGAACACTTAAAAAATATAATTCGAATCGACTTTGATTTAAGTGGCAAAAATGCAATTTTCATATAACATGAAGCTTTAGCATCCCTTTCGATTTCGGAATTTATTTAATCTCATTTAATTACAATACTAAAATACTTTTGGGGCGTATTTGGAATTCTCGAAATTCTCGGAGGAAGGATCAGATGCTATCAATTACATAAAAATTCTAAAAATGTGACGATAATTTTACAATAAAACAAAGAAAGAAAGTGAAGGAGAGAGCTCGCATGCAACACTTACGTTTTTGCACGTCCACCCACGTGTTCTCCACCCTTCCATCCTCGCCCTCGGCCTCCGGGGGCTGCGCAGACCTTGCCAAGAGTGCGGCCGGGCAGCGCCGGAATACGCAGCGTAGTACGTAAGCCGTCGCATTTATAATCGAACCTCTCAGTCGAGGCTATTCGTTCATTCATTAAGCGGTTGGCCCCGAATTATTGGAACATTAGCTTGATTGAACGAAGCTGGGCACGGCCTGTAATACACGGGATCCGCGCTGCCTCGCTTATGTCATCATCAACGTGAGGCGAAACGCCGCGCCGCCGGCCGCGCCGTTCTTATACACGCGAGCTGAAATCAAACATTCGGACCGAGAATATTTCGAGGACATATCTCTTGGATGTTCATCGAAAATTCTTAGCTCCCTCAAGATATAAAGTTTGAACAATGAATTTTTTATCAAGCTTCAAACTTCTGGAGTCAACAGAAATTGTCAAGACATTTGACATAGAATTAGGACTCCCGGATATTTGAGATCGGAATACATAACTGCAGAATATAAATAGCGTGCGATTTAGAAATTGTGGTACCGGAGAAGAATACGTCGCGCGTTAAATACAATTTCTAACTGACATTTGCACACGCATCGTTTTTTTAAATATATTTTATTTATATATATTTATATATATATATATATTATTTACAGAGCTTACGCGATAATCATCGTCACGTTGAATATGATACATTCGACTGTGAGTAAATGGTACGGCTGTCATACACGGATTATTTTATTGCAAGGACCGACTCGCATTTTCCCAGCCAGATCTCGCGATCTCGCCTTCGGAAATTGCCGTTCCTTCTTATCTGCGATCCGGAGATCGTCCACATAATACGAATTGCTTACACGAGGAATCCCGCGATCCTCGTCAGAGACGATCGAGACGCGCAAAGTGATTAGCACGGATCTTAATTAACGTCTTAATTAATCGTTCTCACACAGTTCGGGCATCGGTATCGCAGATCTGATCGATTCGATGCGCTTTACGGAAATTGCGAACGCAAATTGCGACGCAATGACGCCAAGCGAAATAAAATCAGGATACACTTGGAGAGAGATCTTTCACAATCTCGAATTGAAGGCTTGATCGCTTTCTGCATGAAAAACAATATTCGAATTATTTCGACTTTTTTAATTCGAACAGAAATTTTACAAGAGCATGTATGAAACAAAACAATGACGACTGTCGTCTTTATATAAAGTTTCATAGGGAGATAGTGTTTGTATCGAGCTTCAAGAGACAGTCGGGAATTAATGGTGTGTACAGACAATAAGATAGTCGATCAGAGAAATAGATTCTCTGGTACATACAATCGACGAGATATAATTAAGGCGAAGGTGAATTTCGTGCTCCATTTAATTTGATTGATCGCTATTTGCGCATTTTTTTTAACTGATCGCTGCACGTGCGGGGAACGACTGATAAAAACGAGTTCGTACGAAAAAAGCCGCGTGTCTTCTTCGCGTGAGACGCGCTATTCACTGTTTTCCGACGATGTGTTCGTGATCTCGAGCTTTCGCGCCGCGATGCCGCGTCTCTCTCTCTCTCTCTCTCTCTCTCTCTCTCGTTGGCTCGCGCGATCCCTAACTTACATTTACAAAAAGATTTGCGAGTTAGTATTGCGTGGTACTTGAGAAGCCATGAGGTATATATTGTCACACACTTTGTATTTGCGTACCTCCTATAAACGCAGTTTACGTACCCCTTGGTCGTAATCGGCGCGTATATTCGACTAATACTGAAAGAATCGCGAATTCTCGCTCGCCCGCGTATATCGGTTGTCGCACCGAGGTCGGTGTGCGTTGATTCTGGTCGTCCAGCAACGTTGGCCCGTCAATCCGATTGCGATTCGCCGGGAATCGACATTGCCGAAGGGCCGAATTCTCTTAACCTTCGAGGTTCTTCAGCGTGCCGTATCAGATCCCCCTGACGTTGGCGATCACTTTAGAGAGACTTTATTACGCGGCTATGTGACTCTCGCCTACCAAACGACTGCCCAGAGACTGGAGATCTTTTTTTTTCTTTTTGCTTTAGGCTTCTCTCTACAGCGATATTCCGGGAAGCGGCGGCTTCCCCGGTTGCCTTCTCTGGTAAACCTTCGAAAAAAATTGAGAACTTCCCGAGCGTTCTCGGCGATTTTCTACATCCGATCCATCTAGTAGCACCATTTTCTTCCTCCATTCCGTTCCCGAGTAAGAATCGATAGAAATTCATTTAGTTATAAATAGATTTTTCTAAGTTCTCCAACTAAACACTCCATTCCGCTATTTGTATTATGAGTGAGATCATAACAAGGGAAGAACGAGATTAACCCAGAGCTAGTTAACCCGCGATTGCTCGTACAACTGAAGCTAAGTCGTTAAGCTGTATACGAAATGTCGCAACGAAGTACGATTACGTATCCGCGAGTAACGCACAGGCGAAGCAACGAGCTTAGATCACCGTTATAAATCAGATTTTTCATTAATTACTGCAAAATATTCTTCCTCCAGAATCGATGAGGCTACGATCGCTGAAATTACTAAAGCGCTTGGAAGCGACTCTCTCCGTACAAATTAGTCTAAATTAAACTTACGCGAAATAGGAAATCCCTTAGATCTTTTGAGCCTAGAGTGTTGTCTCTGTACATATAAAACCAGACGCGATTATTCTTCGTATAATAATCTCAAACTTAACGTAATTTCTGCAGCGTAAAACGGCGCGAGTTACCGCCGGACTTTACGAAATTACGGACGTCGGCGATACGGTGACAAATTACGAAATTATGCTTATTATTCGTGGCACTAACAGACTGGCTGAAAAAAAAAAACTAAATGACCGTTTAATCCTTCGTATCCTCAATATCGTCCGTAGCGCAGCTGCGCGCGAGAGATCTTGCTGCGACGTTATATAAAAGCTGGGTATATTAGGAATTGCTTACGTTAAATATCTAGCGTTTTGCGTACGTTCGCGCCGCGAGACAGCTTCGGCGATAGCCGAGAATAATTTCGGGCGCGAAGGATTAAAGGGTCCTCATTGCAATTGATCTAACTTTGGTATGACATGAACGTCGGATACTTAATGCATCGCGAGGTGAAATTAACGATAGGGACTTCGTAAAATAATGCCTGCGGGAACAATATTCTCGGGATGTATTGTAAGTTAATATTGTCTTTTCTATGTTTTTAATCGCGCGTGTGTGTTCACGGCAGCGTTGCGAGATTGAGAAAAAAATATACACGTATTAACTATTCATATTTTTCGCCATAAAATAAAATTAAATTTAAATATATACACTGGCTGTACAATTCTTTTGTAACTAAAATTAATGCGCGTTCAATGTACTAAATCTTACTGCAACACGGCACGTATTTTAATATCATTTTCGATAATAATTGCTCTCAAATATTTCGATTTTACTTACAACTCTAGAGATTAATTAGCCTAACACAAGGTGGAATAAATTAATAATGATGTTTGCTAATATAAATATACGTCGATCTTAAAAGAAATTGACAAAACTATATATATACTTATATGTACATTTTACGCAAACGATTAATTATTAGCCGACATGTCGAAGAGACAACGACATGAAGCATGTGAGGAAGATTATGCGGGCAAACAAAACGCAGAGAATTTACAAATCGAGATTCAACATTCCTGTTTTCGCGACTACGCGGAAAAGATTGCTGATAAGAAATGCAATCATGCCTTAAAATAATACGGCAGTTTTTTGCGTGATTCAGCGTGTGTCATTGCCCTCAAAGTTCCAAAATTATTAATTACGTAATTGACGTTACGACCAGACTACCGTGTTGCATTGAATTTTACCTTCGGTTAAATTTTTTTTTTGTTTTTCATAAGCGAAGACCTTACGCTTTAAAATCAACCTACGGATCTCGCTCACGAACGCAAACGAAACCGATTTACCTGCAGCGGCGCGTAGGACTCCTTTTTTCCCCTATGCTACTTGTGTTGGTACAGCCTTACTTCAATATAGTTACAAAAAATAACGCTCTGTTATATCTTTAAAGGAACTCCCTGCGTGATATAGTCAATTGTCTTCGAAGAATTTTCGCTGAGATGCACACGTTAAGCTTTTGATCCCGCCTTATCTTGGACTCTCTGCATGTGAAGCCTCTTGTGATCCTTCCTGTACTTCTCGATCGTCAATTCGGCGTTGCTGGTACTCGACATGCTCAACGTCACCGGGTCCAGGCTCGCCGCCAGCTTCAGATACGTCTCCTCCATCTCCTTCGTCACCTTCACCTCGTAATCCATATCCTTGCGAGAATCCTTCAGCAAATGCTCGTCCTCGAATGTTATGAGATTTTCGCTCTCGTCTACACGCCCGGACAAGATGTTGATATCAGCGGGCTCGTCATTCGCATCCCTCTCGCTGCAATCGTCGACGTTGCTCGACGAGTTCTTCGGCACATCTCGAACGTTGCTGCGAGTCAAGCCTCCGTCCTGCTCCGAGGACTTGCGCTTCACGAGAGAATCGTTCGGATACGCGGATGACGGATTGTCGGCCGCTGCGTTCTCCACACACTTGCTCTTATTGCTATCACGCGGCGCGGAATTCTCCACGCACATCGACGACTGCACCCATTCGGCCACTCGTTGCAATTGATTATCCTGCAGTAACGCAGGCGGCGAATTGTCCTCGCTGCCGGTCGAACGTTCAGAACCGGCTCGAGATGTCTTCTTCGCGTGCACCAGGGCAGTGCTGGTCTTGCCGCCGTCGCCGTCGCCGCCACCACCACCACCACCACCACCGCCGTTATTATTACTGCTATACAGAACAGTCTTGTAATGGCCAGCGTTGTCCAGTAGAATGTTCTTGGAGCCGGGCGTGACCCGGACCAGGCAGTTCCGCGGACCGATCACGCGACTCTGATTCGAGTTGGACTTGGCGCTCGAATTGAAGGCACCACCGGTCAGCGACTGCGCGACGTCGCTGCAGCTGCTAGACGGATCGGAGCTGGAGATGATCATGCTGTCGCTGCTGAAGCTCGGACTGGTCGTCACCTCCGTCTGGCTGCCGTCATTGTGACCCGCCGCGTTGTTGTCCGGACTCTTGACCTCGATCACAGTAAACTGCGCGACGTTCGGCGCGTCTTGCCGCAACTCCGCCGACCTGTCGTTCTTCCAATCGCGATCGTTGATGACATCGAGCTCGATACCGCGATTCGCCTTGCACTTGCTCTCCTTCGACGAGTCCGCCTCGGACTTCAGCTTCGTCCACTCGTTCTTCCACAAACGATCGTTTATGATATCAATGTGCGTCTGCTTGTCGGAGAGCCGATTGTCCGCGCGTGCCAAATAACCGGCACCGAAATGTTCGAAAAAGTTCCTCTCGCTCTTGTTCCACTTCGCGGATCTACTGTCGACCGGAGAATCGCACTTGTTGGCCCTGAGCGATTTGGACGCCTTGTCGACATTTATTCTGTTAAGATCGTTTAACCTCGAGAACGATGACGAGCGTTTGTTCTCGTGATTCTGAGACGAGTTCTTCTTGTTTAAACTGGCCCTCGTAATGACGCCGTCCTCCTCCACCGTGTAATCCTGCCCGTACTTGCCGCTTCTGCCGACGAGCTTGTCCTTGATGCACGGAACCTGCGAGGCATACTTGACGTAATCGCCGTTCATGTGACGGCGAATCTTGTTGCCGTTCTCGTTGATCTCGTAGAAGACCGTATGCATCGCGTGATTCGATTGGTGTTTATCTTTACTCTGATACTTCTCGTCGTTCAGCGTGCCCTGCGACGTTTGCTTCTCGACGCTGTACGTATAACTCTCGGAGGTAGGAAACGTATCGGGCACGCACGTTTGCGTCTCCGTGTCCACCGTGAGGATGTTTCTGTGACACGTGCACGTGTCGCAGTGCTTGGCGAAGATTCTCTCCTTCTCGCGATCCTCCAGCACTTTCGCCATAATCGCCGCCGACACCATGTCCATCGGCGGCTTGCCGTCGTCGCTGTCGTCGTCGCTGTGCTTCTCCACCGTAGGCTTCGTAATATTGTACACCATCGCCGTCGGCGGAAACGTGGATATCGGCACGGTGATGCTCTTTATGTCCGGCTGCGTCGTGTCCTGCGCGGAGCATCGCTTCTGCGCGACGTACGTCCGCACTTTAGCCTGCACCTCGGAAGGCAGCTGCAATAATTAAAAAAAAAAAACAATGACGGTCTTGATATTTTTTACTTTTATTTTGAATGTCAATAACAAACACATATTGTGTCTTTAAATGCCACTTAAGAGACACCGACTTGTCTGTGCCAACTTAGGAAAGGCATTCCCAAATCCATGATAAATAACATTTTTTGAAATATAAATTGCATACCTAAACATCTGTTACACATCATTATAATTTTTGAACTTTAATAGATACTTAATTTATAGATGTAAATATAAACAAGAGATATACGAAGGTTATGCGCGCGCATGTATAAAGTTGCTAAAGTTGTTGGTGTGTAAAATAAAAATAAGACGCTAACGTGACGTTATATAAATACGAGTAAAATGTCATTGTAACATTTAGTTATTCAAAACTCCCAACGCATAAAATTTACATAAAAATTAAAGTAAAATGTATTCCGCGTTAATAATAAATAAATGGAGGAGCAGAAAAAGAATATATTGTCATAATAGAACTTTTAAGTATACAGCAGCATAAAACTTATACTTGATAAGACGATATCTTACCGAATCATATTTCTGACCCACGAAGTTGGAAGGTTTACATTGAAGCAATTGGATAGCCAAACTAACGTCATTTCTATATTTTTCCTAAAAGAGAAAAAAGAATGTGTTTTTTTTCATATAAAATGTGTACGGATAAATTAGTTGCGTGACATCTCTTATTTATAAAATATAAAGCTTAAACGAAAAACAATATCAAATGGAAGAGCATAAAGAAACGTAAGTATTTTAGGAGATGCATACAAATGAAATACTAACATTATCTTGAGTTAACCGATGTATCGTATAATTCGCATCGGCTAATCTATGAGACAGAGTCGCTATGTCCTTCGTGAAGGCACCTTTCTCCGTCTCGCACTTGTCCACTATCCGCAGCAGTTTGTCCTCCAGATTTTGATTGACCTTTTGAACCCTCTTGTGCGCCTCGTGCAAGCGCGAGTACTTCTCCTGCCATATCAACAGTTCCTCCTTCGTGGAGGCCAGTTCCCCGTTCGGAAACTTATCGGCCTCGTTTAAGAACTGCGTCTCCATCGTCACAATGTGGTTGTCCCTCTCGAGCAATCGTTGGCGCAAATTCTCTATCTCCGCGTGCAGATGCATGTCACAGTGCTGCTGATTATCCTGGCTGCAAGCATTACACTTACAGCCGCATTCCTGTGTTGATATTGCTTGATAAGTCCACAAGTATATATACATTTTGTAATGTTATTAATTGAAAACGGAAATTAATATTCATATCAAATATATCATTGATACAAACAGATAAGATAATTGTGATATATAAGGATGCAACATCATATATATACAAATATTAAGATCTTGTCGAAAGTAATCTCTCGAAAGACAGCCGTGTAATAAAATCCAATTACCATTCGATCACACTGTCATTCGAATGCAATTGACAGGCCAGCTGTTACTAACTACGGCTATATTCAATTACGTTGCAAGATAAATCAACACAAATTGTTATAAATTACGCCAAATCTTGACGTCAAAGAAAATGTGACATTTATATAACTTCGTTATGATCGTGTCTCTTATCTGTTTGGTACACTTTGATTGAGATGCTGCACAGAATTACGTAAAGCAAGGCATTGCCTCGTGAGGCAAAGATGTAGGAACAAATATGCGGAGATTTAAACGCATCTCCAGGAGAACGCATCTCGCGGAGTAATCACGCGGGGTACACGTGTGCGTGCACAAATCACGTCAATAAATCTCGTTCCGAGAGCGGCCATCTGAGACGGCCGAGACGGATCGCGTCCGAGCGAGAGTCAATAGAAACGTCCTCGTTGTTTATCCGAGAGGAGATCTCTTCGGGTTCGTGCCGTCCGTCCGTAATCAGCTGTCCGTCGCCACGTTGGCAGTCTCTCTCCGCGGCCAGCCGCCTTCGGCGGGAATTTCTCGCGGACGCGCGACCGCGTCGCCCTTTACAGCACGTACCTTGCACTTCTCCGCCATGGTGGCCCGCCACGCTGGGCACGGTGTCGGTAATAATGCAAAAATATCGTCTAACGGCGCGACCACTGCGGTGCCGTTGGCGCCTCATAACCCTTTCCTTCCCTCGGCGTCCGCGACGTGAGTGCAGAAGTGACAGCCGTGACGGGGCCGTCGCGTGCCAGACGCGCGGCGGTGGCGATTAATCGCGCGCGCGTTAAGACCGCGCGCGCGGGGAGGACTCACAGCGCAAACAATGAAGCGCGACAATGCATGTTCTTCCTCCTTTTTCTTTTATCGCGAGAAGAGCGACGAGCGCGTCGTGAAGGGAGGCCCGTTCGTCGTCACCTGCCGTCTTTGTCAGTCGGCACGAGCCAGCACGAACGTCTCCACGTCAGTGCCGTGTCAAGTGTCGGGCCCGCGTCGAGGCTGGGATGCCAGGAATGTATCCACAAGGACGATCTCGACTAAATCCCAATTAAATTTAAACGGCGATTAATTCAACCGACGCGAACGCTTACAATAAAATTTTTGGTTTATATGACTCATTTAATCTTTCCTTCCATTGTCAAACAAAAAAAATTGACAATTCATTGAAAAAAATGTAAGCAGTATTCGTTGATTAATTACCGTTAATTAACTTATCGCTTACAAACCAAATTTCTAGCTCTATAAATCGTCGCGTCCCGAATTTTTCTTTCCATAAGTCAAAACTAATATAATGTCAGTGTTAACAAATTAGTACAAGTAGTACTTGTACTAATAAATTAACATAATAAGTTAATCGTTGATTTATAACTCAACCCGGAGCAATTGCTTATAGCAAAATTTCTAATTACATGATTCGTCGTGCCAAATCTCATTTTTCTTTCCAACATAATTTTCCAAAAAATTAATCCTATCCGTGACAACAAAGTATCGTGTACGTTACTTTGATCAATTAGTCAATCAATTAATTGAACTTTAGCCGAAATCACAATAATAGGTATATCACAAGACATTTCACAAAATCGGTGCATAAAATTATAAATCAAGTAAAAGGACATATATAGAGACATACATATGAATAGAAAATATTTAAAAAAAAAGTGCAATTGTGATATTAATATTACTGAGAGACTTAAATTACTTTATTAGTGCTTCACATAATTAATTATTAATTTATTAACATTACTATGAAAAGACATGAGAGAAAACTGTTTGCAAAAATTTAACATCAATTACACGCTGTTACGGAGAAACAAAAATGTTTACATAAAATTTATATAGGCAAATAATTCTTTTTTATATACATGTTGAATCGCACAAAGACGGATGACGCAGCGCAGGCTGATTTGCAAAAGTATTTATTAAATGTGTGTTACATCCCCATACATGATTTATTTAATTATAAGTCGTTAATGGCGTTAATACAATTATAATAACATTAAATGTTCACGATATCGTGTCAAATAGAATACTTGAGAAAATCGTCGAATCAATAAAGTGTACCTGTGTGTGTTGTGTGCTTGAACTTTATATAGAAAAAACTGCCCACATCACTCGAAGTAGGACCGCGAGTACACATCGGTCGGGATCTCATTAATTAATGCAATTGAAGTTAACTTTGCCTAAATGCACAAGTTTATTTGATGGTTCAGCTAAATTTTACGGTTTTAACTGATCACCAGCAATGTTGACCAATGTTGCTTCCCATCCAATTTGAGAAATACATACGGGATTGTGCCAGAAGAAGTGCAGCGATTTAACAGTCACGAGAATAAATTCATCCTTTTCTCAGAACAAATATATTCCAATGTCTCTTGCGAACAGAACAATCAATATTATCCGATAATAACTAAAAAATCGATAATCATTTCTACTTAATTCAATATTATCCGGTTTCTTTTTGCAAACAGAGATAAAGAGTTGCCACATACGTTCGAATACATATTCATTATCTCTTCTACTTGACCGTACGAAAAATTCCGACGCAAACATCGACCGCTATAATTTCAAGCCTGATCAAGATACACTTGCATTTAATCGTTTGTTAACACAGTCAAGTATCGAGTACAAAGCGATATGTCTCAAAACAGCCGTTTTAAATCAGTCATATTGGTCATACTCTATCATAAAATACTCGACGTCGAATAATTAAAACGAAATTAAATCCGATTAAAAAAAAAACGCAGATCACAAAAGAGACATGATTGAATTTTCGAGAGTAACAAAATAAATTATTTGCAGCGAATAATTACTCGTAAACACCTCTCTTGAACAATCCTGTGTATGCATGTATAACATTCGTATAATATTTGTGTGTATATATATATATATACAGAGTGCGACAGTGGTCGAGCGCTTGCTCTGATCAGACAATAATCACTACTGACAACAATGTTAAAACTCTGAGGCGGACTGTGAAAAACAAAGGCGTCACAAGCGCGGCTGCGCTTACAGCAATTCGTTTCGCATATATAAATAAGATTATTTTGTCCGTTATATAAAAAAAAATCTGTGCAATGTACATAAATATATGTAAAATGCAAATGTACGTAAATATGTAAAATATTAAAATAAAAAATAGTAAATGTTTCAAAACAGTAAATTAGATTGCGGTATTAGCGTCGTTAATGCTACGATATTTTCGAGACCTTTCGAGACGACATTTCTACGGCGAGACCAAGCTGCAATTAAATTATTATTATAATTATGAAACCAATATAATATATGATAATAATTAAAATCTATAATATTATGTTTTACAAGCATCAAATAAATCGCCGTTGATTTCTTTGATAAGAGAAATGATAAGCTCATCTTGGAAAATATCGCGGCGTTGCGATCCCCTCACGCCGGTCCCGGAAAAATAAATTCAGCTTCAGAAAATTATCCAAATCGCGACGTGACGCAATTTGTAACGCCTTCGATTTCACAGGTCGCGTTAGCAATTTACGCTACATCGTAAAACTACATACGACAGAGGAGAAACCCTTATCTAATTTGCTGTGCAAGTATAGCGTCGGCCGCGGCCGAGGTCCTACGCGACCCTTCCTCCCCCCCTCCCCCCTCGATCCGGTGATCGGTCACCTCGCGTTGTATCTCGGCGCGGAACACGAGACGCCGACGTGCCCCTAATCGAGAAATTCCAAAAGCGCTACGTCTATAGCCTGGCCACGTGAGCGGGCGCGGATTCAAGGATAAAATTTGATTGATTAAGCACGGAACCGTACATTCTCGTTTAGCCTCGTCTGCAAAATGTATTAGACGTAGTATTTAGTGGGTGTCGTGCGAAATTTAAGACATATATATATATATATATATATATATATATATATGTCTTAAATTTCGCATATATATATATATAGGTATTATCAGCGATTCGAAAAAGTAAGTTTTGCTGCTTAACGTACGCGTACGATACATTACAGATAAATGCGGAAACGAAGTTGTGTCGAATGGAGCCGTATTGTGTATCGGGGTACTTATTGAGAAATGCGCAAAAGGACGACAGAATGAGCAGAACAGCAATGGTGTTTCTTTCAATCGTCATTCTAATTATTCAACATCGCGTCATTTTTCTCTCCCTTCCTTCCCTAAATTAATCGCAATCCTTACTTCGATAAAATCATTCCTCTTAAATATAATCGCGATGTTGGCGAAAAAAAAATTTTTAAGTACAAATAAATGTACATCCTCTACTTGCTCCGATTTTACCGAAGATTATAAAAACGCGTATTTTTTTTTGCTACCTACAAATTAAGTTAACAGAATTTCTTACTTCATTGATGCTAATATATAATTTCTCGCAGGCCAATAAAATATATTTAATTAAAATAATAAATCATCCCGCTAGATTACATTGACTCGTTCCGCTTTAAATGGAGACAATCGACAATCATTTTTATATATTTTACTATTTTTAAGAAACTCGACGTTTATAGAAGAAAATCTCTCGCGGACCGTCTTCTCTCGACATTCGTCCGGTATCTCATCGCAATAATATGCAAGAAGAAATATCCCTACGACGTATGACACAGCATTTAAAAGGGGAAATATATATATGTGTATACGTTTATATGGTGCTTTATATACCCTACAATCGAAATGATCCAAACATTAATACGTCCTTCGATACGCGACAGTCCGGCGGACATCCTGGGTCGATCGCGTCCCGTCAACGTCTCGTTAGTGGAGAAACCCGGTGTGTCATGGAAAATATGAAATACGATCTCGCCTCCGTGAGAAAAACGCACGACACGTGGAATAACGCGCGGTATACAAATCAACGAAGTCACGTAAATGCCGTTCGGCATTCCTTTTTTTTTTCTCTCTCCGAGGGAAAAGGCACTGATACTCGTGCTCCTGTAACGCGATTTAACACTTTGAATTCACACGGATTTCTAACGTGCGCGACACGTGGCGACGATTCGACTCGCGCCTCGCACGGCCGAGATCCTTTTATATAATCTATTATTCGTTTTTTTTCATCGACTTTCCTCCTTCAATACCACACATCTCGCGGAATGAATGCGATCCCATTTAGATACGTAAGCCTGATAGAACCGAGCCGAAAATAAAACGCGAAATAGAGCTGCCGGATTCAAGGTGCTAAAACGTCCGGCGAAAGTGGGATAAGTACAAAGTGGTTTCGTAGATCGCAAGCCGTTGATCTGCCTGTCGTACTAATGCTCGTTCTCGAGTCACCTCATCGCGCGCATCGCATTCCAAATTTTCTATTACAAAAGTATTGTTCGTTTTTTTTTTGTTGCGAGTACGCTATACTTTAACCGTTGATCACGCAAGACGCGCGTGTATATGTATGTGTTTGTATGTGTCTGTTGCTCTCGTATAAAGTAATTGACTACCTACTTATCATTAAGAAAAGGTACGTTGTTGTCGCATTCTCGGTTTCGCAATTGTTTTCCTCCTACGTGTGAACACAATTAGAAAGTTTGGAACATTTCAAATGTTGAGCGCCTCTCTTTCTCCCTCTTTCTCCTCATTGATATATACATAGATATACTTTTTATGCGCGTATACATGTGCATCTGTGTATATATATATATATATATATATATATATATGTGTTGCATTCTTTCTTTCTTACACGTCAATCCTGAGATCTAAAAATACAATCTAACTTATCTTTTCTGTTCTTTTTGTCGTTTGTCCCATTAATACATCGTGCCGAACAACATCTGCCGTCTCTCACTATTTTACAAGTAAAAAAATATATACGTTACTCTTTCAAACATGTAACTTTCATAAACATCGAAAAAAGACAGGAAGAGTGAAGAAGAAAAGCTTCTGTCAGATTCGTTCTCCATTATAATTTCGCTATGCATGATACGTCGATAGGAATTACCGTGTTAAATCGCGGGCGCGTGAGAATAATCGTCGCCCGAAAAAGAGTGAGATTCTAATCATTACAATAATAAATTCTACCATATCGATCTTCCACCACTCGATCGCAGAACAAAATGGCTGATAAGTGCATTTACTTCTTTGGTTGTATGAGCCCTTAATATTTTATATATAATTACTGACATACATATACACTTCATGTAAGTGTTAATAAATACTTAGAGAAAAAAGGGGGAGACAAGACATCGACAGAAATTTTCAAATTTTTATAATAATCCGATAAGAGTCGCGCATTACGAGAACAATTGAACAATTACTACCTCTCTAACGCGACATCTCTTTGTGCTCTTTTTTTTATTTTATTTATTTTTATCAAAAGGCGTACCACTTCATCGTCAAGGCCACAATTATGTCGCTATCTAAAAAAGATTCACAAAGTGGTGTCTATCTATATATATAGATGATAGGAGTCTAAATTTTAAAAGTCTACTAACTTTGAAACGTTATTGAGAAGAGCAGACGAATAATAAATTTATATAATATTATAATCGCCAGTCTACAATATATCACCTTACAGCGTATGGGCATACATACAGCTGTCTCTGTGTCATCTCTACTTGATATAAGTTATCGAATTCTGAGATTCTTTGTGTGTATATCGATGCTGCTTGCGTCAGCAAATAGATAGTGTCCGTAACGTTACACTCTTGACGCATTTCTATTGCGCTATTTTCTATATGTATTTCCACATGTGCTATCGTTAAGTCATTCGTGTTTCACACTATATTCACTATTTGTGTAAATTAACAGTTTGCTTTCGTTAAAAAGTAAAAAAAAGAGAGAGAAGAAACAAAAAGTTCACGCTTAAACGCATCTCATAAATGCCTGTGAAAATTGCTGCCTCTCTTTCTCTCTCTTTTTCTTACTGTAAAAAAAGCAAATCTCAATCTTGCGAAATATTAGCTTATCTCATATCTTCCGAGAAGCGTGAAAAACGCGTCTCGCTCGAAAGCGCACTTGCTATAAATATCTGTTTTTGGATGAGCAGCAGTTCAATGAAATGGAAAATCGAACTTTTTGACGTTTTTTGCAGGGCACACCCCTCTCGGGTAATTTCGATAAATGCCTGCACGGGGTGCCCTCGTGGTTCGGTCGAATACTTATTTGGTCGATTGTGAGATTACTCTACAATGAATTTCAATGAAGGTTTACAATTACTCTCGAGAAGGCTGCGGTACTTTACTTAATAATCTCATTAAATACGGAACACGCGCAACAAGGCACATATACTTTCAAAGCTATCACACGTGTTAGGATGAATTACATTTACTCTGCGATTAGAACGATTAAAGAGAAACTATATAGGTTAGCACCAGCCTAATTTTGTTA